ACTCACAGCGCTTGAGACTACAAAGCTCCTAAGCACCGGTCGTTGTGATTGGTGATGTCCAATCGAGCCGTGATCAATCGGGATCACTCACCCCGAAGCCTTCCATTCTTCTTCTCACTATTCTTTGATTACTCCGTGGTTTTGACGCTGCGTGAAATTGCACCTTTCGATGTGGTTGTCATAGTAACGACGCAATGCAATATTTTGATGTTGACATTGACGTTTGACAACGTTTGATCAGTTTCGATAATCGTCGACTAACGTGATGAGTTGCTGTACATGAAGAATCGCTTAAACTAATTTACAACAACAATAATCCAAGAATGAGCGCAATCTTTAGTGGGAATGATAGTAATGAAAACATTATTATTTTTGATATATCAAAAAATGAAAGAAAATTGAATGAAGAATTTAAAATACTTCAACGAAAATTAAAAGGAAAGTGGAAATTTATCGAGTAAGTCAAAATTTGTATTGAATAATCATCAACATTATTTATTAATTGTATTAATCAATATTCTTATTAAGTTGAAAACTTATGTCCAGTGAATGTATTTCAGGAACAATGAAGTAATATCGCAAGAATCATTGACAAACGCCAAAATTCTCGTTTTACCAGGACCATTAAGTAAATTTACCGAACTTGAAATGAATTCTATCAGAACTTTTTTAAATTCTGGTGGCAATATTCTTGTCACGCTTGGAGAGGGTGGTGAAAATAAATCCAATACAAACATTAATTTTTTGCTGGAGGAATTTGGTATAATGGTGAATAATGGTATATAAAATATTTAGATAAAATAATTCTCTCCCCCCCCTCTCTCTCTCTCTCTCTCTCCTCTAAATAAATAAATAAATAAAAATTCATATTTTAATATTTATATTTGCAGATAGTGTAGCTCGCATGAGTTATAGTCAAACAATGCATCCTAAAGAATCTCTAATCTCTCAAGGCTTATCAAATAAATCTATATTTCTGAAAAATCATGACGAGTACATGTAAGATAACCTTAAAATATTTTTCTTGTGGTAATTTCAATTATTAATAAATAATTATTTTAGTGGTATGAAATTTTTGTATCCTTATGGTGCAACATTAAATGTGGTGCAACCATCTGTTGTTGCTTTATCCAGTGGATCAATCGCTATTCCAATGAATAGGCCAATCTGCGCATATCATTGTGTAAAAAACAGTAATGGCAAGCTCGTTGTATTAGGTTCATCTAGAATGTTGACAGATACTTACATAGAAAAAGAGAATAATGATACATTACGGGAAATGATTTTTGATTTTTTTGAAGTAAATGTTACAGAAAAGGAAGATCTTCATACAGATGATATAGAAGTAAGTTATTTATTATAGATAGTACACTTTTTACTAAATGTATAAATAGTACAAATAAATATAGCACAAATATTAAGATTTTTTAACCTTTTCTTTACAAAAAAGAATTGACAAACTGTATCTTTATATACAGTTTTGGGAATACAACTTTGTACCAGATATAACACAACAGGCTGACAATCCAAAAGTTTGCACGTCAGATTTAGATAATATTGACATACCTCGTGAATACACTAAATTATTTAAAAATCATTTTTATTCTATAAATTTAAATATGGTACCAGCCTGCATAAAAGCGTATGAGGCTTTAGGAGTAAAACATGAACCACTTACTTTGATTCCACCTCATTTTGAAGCACCTCTACCTCCCACGCAAGCTTCAGTGAGCATAATATTTAATTTCTATATCTGTTTCATGAATTTATATTCTATTTTATGATTATGCACTTTATATAAACTCTCTCTCGAATAATTACAGGTATTTCCTCCAAGCTTTCAAGAATTACCGCCACCTGCTTTAGAGCTGTTCGACCTAGATGAAGCTTTCAGTTCTGATTTATTAAAATTATCACAAATTACTAATAAATATATGGCAACAAAAGAGCTATCAAATGACAAGGAATTAGATCACTATATCAGGGAATTTGGCAGTATAATAAGGATAAACAATTCTGACACACACACTGCTAAAGAAGTATTAAATTTTGTTTTTCAAAAAATCTGCAGTTATAAGACAATGCATGATTGAAATTTTTGTATTAAAAAAAAATGTAATTTATCTTAAATAGCTGATTGTATCATATTAATTGATTAAAGTTTAATAAATGAAGAAAATATTGCGCTCATTTCAATTTCCCTTTTCACAATTTAACATCTATCGGTAATGCAGACTTTTGGGATTTTAGTTACATTCTAACATCGAGAGAGCGATAGTATATGGTAGAAACTCAACCAATCGTAATCGTTGCTTCTGTCACTTGAAAAATATTGCTTTCACTGAAAATTATAATTTATAGAGCCATGGCTGCTTAGTCTACAATAATAAAATAGTGTTCGTATTTTTAAAAAGATCTCTGACTTTTATGCAATTAATAAATCATTACGAAAATGTCTGTGTTTTTCGTAAATACGTAAGTAAACGAACTTCTATGGTTTTTAGGTTATGTATTATTGCATTCTTGATACACTGTAAAATTGTAAATAATGTATGTAAAAGGGAGGATTTTCCGCATCTATGGAATAAATAGGTCTGTTCACGTTACTTGCACTTTTGGCACTCGACATTTTCGCTTTCTCTCTTTTTAAGGCAAAATATGTATTTATCTCATTTTAAGTGTAAAAATATTTGGGGATTTCATGCAACGCAAACAGACCTATTTTATTTTTCAAATGGTTTATCAAAGTATTTCATATACAGTTTACTGTATTTTTTTACATATTTATTGCAGTGAGAAGTTTTTATATCGTAGAATAACAGGAATAAGTCGTACATTTGATTGCAAAAATATTTAATATGTATAAATATTTTAAAGATTTTGTGTTGAGCGTCCTTTATATTCTATGAAACCTTTATTGAGGCTTTTAGCTTTAGTATATTATTTGATTAATATTTCTTAATTTTTTTTATCATAAAAATTTATAACATTTATTTATAATTATAGTATTAACATTAGATACATACAATATATAATTGAATTTCATATTTGTACAGGGTGTTTAATTATTACATTTAATAAAATCAATTATCATAAATTTGGAACTTATAATTTACTAACAACACATTTTTCCAGATACTTTCAGAAAAACTCAGAAATAAATTTTATTCAGCTGCATTGGTTTATAATTAATTGCTAATTTATGACTATACCTGCTGCTTTTTACAGTTTGACCCCTACCTTCTGTCATTAAAACTAGTTCTTAGCATATATATATATATATATATATATATAATGTTGATTGGGATACTAAATTGATATCTATAATAAAAGTTTTTATAAATTTAATAATAATATTTATAATAAATAAATAGGGAATAAAACAAAAGATTTTTGTTTTTACAATAAGATAATAAGAATATTTTCTATATTAATAGAAATCAAGACAGCGAAGTGGAAGGCGACTCAAATGGTGACTTACAGATTGCATCACCGGGCAGTTCTGAGGCTCAACAAGCATTGACTCATTTCTGGCCAAAAGTTATGGAAGAGATAAAAAACATCACAACTGTTAGTAAGACCAATCTGATAAAAAAAAATTTACTTTTTCAGTATTTAAATAAATATTCTTATTATATAGATGGATCTTAAAACACAATCTTTACCATTGGCAAGGATAAAAAAAATCATGAAGCTAGATGGAGATGTAAAAATGATAAGTGCAGAAGCACCTATGCTTTTTGCCAAAGCAGCAGAAATCTTTATACATGAACTGACTCTCAGAGCTTGGGTGCACACAGAAGATAATAAAAGACGAACTCTTCAACGAAACGATATTGCAATGGCGGTTACAAAATATGATCAATTTGATTTTCTTATAGATATAGTACCCAGGGATGAAATAAAACAAAGTAAGGCACAGAACGAGGCCACTGTACGTACATCTATGAACTCGGATCAAGTGCATTATTACTTCCAATTGGCACAGCAGCAAGCTTCGGCGAATCAAGGTGTGCAGAATAGTGGCACTACCACGCAACCTATACAAATTGTTCAACCTTCTAGCGGGCAAATTCAGACTATAAATATCGGCAGTCCAGTAGAACAGGTATATTATTTTTTAACTGATTAAAGAAAAAGAATCTATGTACGTAATAAATCGTTAAATTTCATCAATTTTAGGAGAGCACCAACACCACTACGGCTCAAACGGTTACGGTTCAAAGTCCACAGCAATCATCAAATCAACAAATTATTCAACTGCAACAACAACAACAGACATCTACCACACAGGGTGGAGGAATACAAATCGTACAACAGATTGTCACTCCTAGCGGCGAAATTCAACAAATACCTGTAAATATAAAAAATTTCTTTATAAAATCATCCATTTACTTGTTTAATTGTGTGTCACTTTCGATCTTTTTCTCTTTTAGATTCAATTGACTCCCCAGCAGTTGCAGATGATTCGCATGCAAGTGCAAGGTGGAAGTAATCAACCGATTATAATACAAACTGCTCCAATTCAGACTCAACCACAATTGATACAAGTTGCACAGGGCTCTCAAGCTCCAGTTTTTTTACAAGCCTCCAGTGCTGATACCGAATAATATTATAATTATAACTTTAATATTAATTATAACTTTTTTTAGCTATATTTAATAAACAAAATAGTATAATAAGAAAAAAATATTGCTAGATTATATTAACTTATCGTTTTGTAATCAAAATTACTTGATAAATTAATCAATTTCCAACGTTAAAAATACACGTTTTTTAAAATTTATAAGCAACTTGAAATAAAAAGAAAAAAATAATTGTTTAATCATTGAAACTTTCAGGCGATTAATTAATGTCTAGGATAATGTATTGTGCTTCTTTTCTATTCAAATTTCTAATGTATTAACATCTATAAGATTAATGATTGTCTTACAATATGTAATAAATATATCTTCATTATAATATTGTCTTCTTTATTTGCTGTTTTCTAAAAAAATGTACAGTGTACTGACAATTGTTAATAACAAAGAGAAAACCAAATTTTCCATACTCGTAAAAATGAATTTTAATACTTTTAGTTGCTAGAAATTCTCACTTATTTATCTCTCGTGTTGCGTGCTTTTTAAACATTCTATAGAAAGTTATCCGAAAATTCTTTCTCAAGATATCTCTGTTCATCGTAATCGTGCATCCAAGCGTTGTTATAAGCTGATCGAAGGGTTGGTCACTGAAGCGAAATGAGGTGAATCGAGACGATGTAAGGTGAAGAATAAAGATAAACAGCCAACGCAAGATGTAATCTGATTCGTACGTCGCGTTCCTTAGCCGCTGGCTGCCTGCTTCGCATGGCTGAGCTTAGGACTGGCTGGTGCAACTTGTATTATGTTTCACGTTGCTGTGGTTCTTGTCTGGCGAGTCTTGACGCTCAGAATCTCTACAATAGCCTCCAAATGTCACGTAACTGCACGTATTCTTATTAAATCGTTAATATACGCATTAATATTACGCTATCAATCTTAACGTAAATAAAAAATAATTAATTATTCATTTATCGTGGAACGTGTATCAAATCGGAACTTGTATCATTATTATTAGCTGAAAAATGACAAAAAAATAATGAGGGAATGAATGCGATATAAATGATTAAAATTTGTCTCTGGTAGATTAACAAAATTTCCTGAAATTAAAAAATTAATTATAAATATTTAATTTTAACGTAATAATTGTATTCTCTTTTTATCTAATTTTAATTTATTTTCGAGGAATCGAACGCGAATGAAGTATATGTATATATATATATGAAGAAGATAAAATAAGAGCTACCTAAAAAGAGACGTTGCTGGCCGATATTTGCCGATGTATTAAAACTTGATCGATCGGAATACCAATTCGCCGGGAAACCTTCGAATATATATATATACAGGGTGCCGAAAAGAAAATATAATCAAGTAAAATTTATTATACTCTTACGAAACTTTTCACCTACATAAAATAAATTATTTGTTAATAAAGATTTCGTCAGATGCTAACTGTTTACGTCTTTTTACTTTTCTATATACATATTATAAATAAGCATTAAATCTACGAAATTAAATGAAAATAACAAATATATTGTTTATATTTATCTCATATATCTCTTATGGAAAAATATTGAATTAGTAAAAAAAATTAGAAAACTAACAATTGGAAATAATTTGAAAACCGTTCGAATCTATGGCAATATTTTGTATTCTATTCGTGTTTTAATAATTTTTTTTTACTATATATAATCCAATATTTTTCCAATAGAAAATATTTTCCACTACGAAAAATATTTGCAATTACTATTTTTTATCTTATTTTTAAGTAATTGACAATTTTAAAGTTGGTAGATATAATTTTTTATTAGTTTTCTATAGTTCTCGAACGATTATAACCTCGATTATAACATATAGTTAGGCGTATATCTTGAATGATAAATTAGATAATACAAACTAGAATCATTATAAGTATTAGGACACAACAAATATCCATGCACAGACGTTATCCTATAATAATAACCCATCTTTTTTTTGTTTTATTAGCACGGAACAAATGAAAGATGTGCGTTGCATTTACTGACATTGTTACTGCGATCCTAGTTGTCAGAGAAACCACGAGTACGCAGCATGTGACGATGTGTCACATTCAGCGAAAATCTTAATCGGTCATAGAAAGCATAATATAATTCAGACATAATATACGACGAATGTAATTCTGCGTTGCGAAAATATAGAAAATGAAAAAGAAAAAAATAGACGTTTCTCGCGATCGCGAGAAATTCCTTATTGCCGCTGCAACAAGCGTGGAGGTGATTTTCGCGCGTCTGAAAGCATTTAAAATTTGTATTCGCCAGAAATTACACTGGAGCTACAGACGAACGCTCGATTTTAATTTCTCGCTGTGACTGCCCGATAGATTCTTTCCACCCCGCGATCTACGCCACTGCCTAAATACTCGGATTTCACGACATGTTTACAAAGATCCTAGAGATAAGTTGAGAATGGCCGCCGCAGCCCCATGCCTCCTCCATGGGTGTAAGGTGACAGCTGCCTGCGCCTGCGTTGCATACACA